TTTCATTCCAAATGATTTCTACATGAGGAATGAAAGATAGATACTAAGGTCACAGTTGTCAGCAAAACTAAATAAATAAAATAAAATAAGCCATAAGAAGACAAAAGAAAAAAAAACTGTACATAATGTGTTACACATGGAGTTTTTTTTAATATTATTTATTTAACCTTTATTTATCCAGGTAAACTGTTTAAGAACCACTTCTCATTTACAAACATGACATGATGCACTGAGTGCATTATAATATACAAACATACATATTCAGCCAGAGTAAAGTGACTATTTTAATTGTGATTAAAATTTTTAATCTATGCCCATGCAGGACTAAAATTAATCAGAGTTAACTCAATTAATTTCACAGCCCTACTATTTTTATATTTTGGCTACTTTTCTGCTGCTTTTAGCTAGCCTCTTGCTCGTTTTAGCTTTTTGCTAGCCTATTGTTACTTTTAGCTTGCATTTTACAATTTTCCGTTTTTTAGTTATCATTTTGCTAGTTTTACCTTTTAGCAATCCTTGTGATGCTTTTTGCTAGCCTTCTGTTACTTATAGCAATCATTTTTCTATTTTTAACCACTGTTTTGCTTCTTTTAGCTTCTAGTTAGCCTCTAGCTAGCTACTTTTAGCTACTTTTGGTTTGCATCTAGCCTCTTGCAACTTTTAGCTTCTAGCTAGCCTTTAGATACCTTTAGCTATTGTTAGCTAACCTTTGCTACTTTTTAAAATACTTAATATTTAGCAGTGGTGGGCAGCACTAATCTAAAAATTAGTTCCACTATCCCTAAAACACTAACTCAAATGTTTAAGTCCCCTAATTCTAAAGCACTAATGCACTGAAAATTTAGCAAAAGCTAATTGTAAAGCACTAAAATAACCCAGTCAACCCATGAACCTTCTTCAACAGACAACATGAGTCACATGTTGCTCTCTTAACACTTCTCACTGACTCCTCAGCTGGATCTGGTTCATATCTTGTCACATGTGAACAAAATGAGTGACAGTTTTCACCCTCAGCTGTTAACATTAATGCTGATCAATAACATTTATAGACCTCAGTTAGTGCTTGTAAATTTAGCAAGTGCTAATCCACTAATAAATATTAAAATAAGCAAAAGCCCTAAAGCACTAATCAGGAAATTAGTTCCCCTATTAGTGCTTTAGGGGAACTGTGCCCACCACTGATATTTAGCTACTTGTTTTTAGCTTCCTGGTTGCCTGTTGCTGCTTCATTTTTTATTTAGGATTTTGCTAATATAGCAGTCAGCTAGCCTTTTACTACTTCTGTCTTTTATACTGCGTTTAAGCACCAAACACGTTTTGAGCATCAGGTTTACATGGTAAATCTATGGTGGACGCTATATAAGACAAATGCATTATTATTGTTGTTGTTGTTGTTGTTGTTGTTGTTGTTGTTGTTGTTGTTGTTACTATTTTGTGACGGAACAGTTTCCTGAGTGATGTCCACTAACCTGAGACAGATGGACAGGAGCTCTTTAGCTGATATCGAGTGGCTGTAGTCGGTGTCCTGGCAGGAGATATCAGCACCGATGCGGGTCAGCGACTCATCAAACTGGACTCGGGACAAAAATAGTTCTGAAAGCCTCGCAGCTCCTGGGTGGTAGAACTCACCAAACTCAGAATGTCTCTGAATTATCTAGTGAATTAATTATCTTGTGAGCGTGACGTGCTCTTAGTAAATAAAGCAAAGCCACTTTTGGTGTGAACTAAGGTTGGGCAATAATGGCAAAAAAAAAAAATCACGGTTAATTGTGGTATTTGGCCGATAACGATTAATTTTGACGATTAATCCCCTGGAGTCCCTGGACATCCTTATGTCATCCTGGTCACATGACCAATTTAGTGGGAAAGATTTGTTCTTCATAAAAATCTGTTCCAAATTGTGTCAAAATTACAGACTTCAATTTATAAATTGTGTTGATAAATAAGTAAATTACAGAACCTTTTTTTTAATGTTGGTCATATTTGAAGCGGAGAGGAGCACCGAGCGATCTCCAGTCAGTCTGCCTGGTGGCATTAATTGTCAAGTGCCAAAAAATAATCAATTAATGTTTTTCTGATGATTAATCGCACACGATACGATTATGCCCAACCCTAGTGTGAACGCAGCATCAGTCTTGAGTTAACCTCTTGTAACCTTTTAGCTTCCAGCTAGCCAGTTGTCACTTTTGGCTTTTAACTACTCATCTGCTACTGTTAGATTTTAGCTCCCATTCTGCTGCTTTCAGCTAGCAGTTAGCTTCTTTAACTCAGTTTCAGCTGTCGTTCGGCTGTGTTTTTTCACATTTTGTCAGGTTTAAAGCTCGAGGTCGAATAAAAATAGCGACAGAGACGCTAAGGTTCTGCTGCCTCTGGAGAAATGTTTTCCCGCCTCACCTCTCCTGCTCTCGGAGCTCGTCACTTTTCTCTGATGTCACCTCTTTAATTTTAAACCGTCTTCTTTTCGTTCTTTTGCAGCGATTTCCAAAAGTCTGGAGCCGGTGACGGGTCAGCTGAACAACACGATAGCAGCTAAACTGACGGCCGTGGAGGTCACCCTGAAAGATAACGTCAGCAAGGTGGTGAAATCCAAGGTAGGCAGCTGAATGCTTTGTTTTTATTCCCACCTGTTGGTTTCCTCCAGTTTGTTCTTCAGGTTTCCCTCTCCTTCCTGTTCATCAGAACCTAACGGACTCGATCGGTCGAGCGGCAGCCGAAGCGATTCAGGGACCGATCCAGACGGCCTACAAAGAGGCCTTCCAGACCACCGTGCTGCCCGTCTTCGAAAGAGGCTGCCAGACCATGTTTCAGCAAATCAACGACAGCTTCAAGCAAGGAACGCACGAATGTAAGACGACCGATACGAAGACAGTTTCAAACCTTTGTCACTTCCTGTTTGTGTTGGAGGCTGGCCAACACAATCTGCAGAACTAGGGCTGCAGCTAACGGTTATTTTACTAAACGATTAATGTATTATTCTGATGATTAATCGAGTAATCAGATATACAAAAATAGTCATGTTCTGCAGTAATTAAGCTTATTTTATGAGAAATACAATTATTTAATATTGTAAAGGGGTAATCTACATCTGCTGATGACTCTGCTGCAATCAAAGTCAAATGACACCAGTTGTATTAATTCATGCATTTGAAGCTCCACTTGTTTGTAATTAATTAAAAACACTGTCACTAAATCATTTTAACCATCACAGAAAAATCTAAATGCTTAAATTTATTGTTATGGATTGGAAAAGTGAATGTCTTTTTTTTAGAAATTTACTAAGTAAAATAGAAAATATAAACATTTGGGTGTTGCAGTTGAGTTTTGTAGAGTTCACTTGTTAATTGTAACAAAAAATTCATATTTTTTAAAGACTGTTATTAGGTTGATGCAGGGCTCCCATTTAATCTTGACTGTGTAGCTATAAACAAATATAACAGTAGTAATGAGGGCTAAAATCATAAAAATCAGCAGAAAATAATTAAAAATATCCAACTATTTTCTATAAATACTTTTAAACTTGAAATATTTACTCCAAGTATCTCATTTAAACTAAGATAAAAACATATCAACAAATAAACGTGTTTCAGCTCAAGCTGTCGATCTGTTGCTGTGTTTTTATTTTTATCTGACAAACTCACAGTAAGTCTTGTTTTTAACAACTTACACACTGTTTAATAAAACCCTGCCAGGTCACCATGGTTAGTCAGCACAAATAACGTTAGCTTAAATATACCTCCTCCTCGTACATCTGGAACACGACAGATTATCACAGATTGAGGGAACCGTGTTTTGCAAAGTGAACGTAAACAAATACCTGTTGTTAACTCCTGACGTGTTTTGTTCCGGCGCAGAAACATGGAGGGTGTGAAGCGTACTGCGCGTTGTCGTCTTTTCTATTTAGCTTTAAATGTTCCCTTGCTTTTTATAATCTGTCGTTTTTTTGGGTGCTTCGTTTCGGCACTATAAAGCGCTCTGTAAGCATACACGCGTGATATGTTGACAGTGTAACCGTTAGCGGAAGTGCTAACATCGTAGCAGTGTGTAACACAAATAACACTCCGGATGAAGTTTCGAGGCAGATAATTTTCCTCGAGGATTTTTTTGTAACCGAATTACTCGAATTATTCATGGAAACGTTTCAGCCCTGTGCAGAAGATTTATTTATGTAAACGTTTAGTCCTGGAGGGGAATGAGTAAAAAGAAGTGTATTTAAACAAAGGACACCACAGGGTTGATGTGACTGCGGGAGGAAATGAACGACTCTTTGTTCATCCCCGCAGACATCCAGCAGCTCGACGCCCACATGAAGAACAGGAAGCAGAGGGAGCAGGAGGCGCGGGACCCCATGATCACGCAGCTCCAGCAGATGATCGATGGCTTCCAGAGCTCCACCGATCAGCTGGCCAGCAGCATCACGGCCACGGTCCGGGCCGAGGTCCAGCACCAGATGCAGATGATGGTGGGAAAGTATGTATCCATCCCGTTTGGAGAAAATGTTGATTTAAAACTTTTACACACGTTCCTGTGCACTTTAACCAGATTTTACTCATCAGGTATGTAAATCAGCAGATGTTTGCAGCTGTTCACTTCCTGTTGAGCAGCTGCATCAGAGGTTGGAGAGTAAAAAACAGGCGAAGCTTAATCCTGAGGCTAATCTAAGAGCATATTTTCTATCAGGTCTCTCGTTCCCCGTGCAATTAATTCAACAGCCTTGGAGATTATCAGGGGAGAAGCAGAGACGAAGAAGCCGAACAGCTAAAACTTCGCCCAAAAAAATCACTTTCAGCTGCTTTTCTTTTCAACGGAGAATAAATCAAACCAGAGAAAATAAACTTACTGTGGAAATGCAGCGAGCGCTGAATGACAGCTGGAGGTGAAGATGTTAGGTTGGTAAGCTGAAAGAAGTACACTAGCTAAAAAAACAAACATTAGCAAAGCACTACCTGAAAGTAGCAAGATATTTGCTAAAAATGCAAATAAGTAGCTAAAAGTAGCTAAATATTATGTGAAAGAACTAAAACCTCAGCTGTAAGTAGCAAAATGCTAGCTAAATGTGGCAAAACATTGGCTAAAAGTAGCCAAATGTTAGCTAAAAGTAGAAAAATTGTTTGCTAAAAGAACCAAAACCCTAGCTGTCAGTAGCAAAATGCTAATTGAAAGTAGCTAAATATTAGCTGAAAGCAGCAAAACACTAGCTAAAAGTGGCAAAATATTAGCTAAAAGAATCAAAACTCTAGCTGTAAGTAGCAAACATTAGCTAAAGGTAGTAAAATACTAGCTAAAAATGCAAATCAGTAGTTAAAGTAGCAAAATATTATGTGAAAGAACCAAAACGTTAGCTATAAGTAGCAAAATGCTAGCTAAAAGTGGCAAAACATTTACTAAAAGAAGAAACATACTAGCTGTTAGTGGATGAAATCTAGATAAAAGTAGCAAAAAGCTAGTTAAACGAAGCAGAGCAGTAGCCGTATGTTGCACATCACTAACTGTAACTAGTAGAATAGTAGCTAAAATTTAGCAAACTATCATGTAAAAGAACTAGAACAATAGCTGCAAGTAGCAAAAGGCTAGCTAAAAGTATCAACTCTAGCTCAAAGCTTCATGCAGAGCTGAATGTTTTAATGTATGAACAGCTAAAACAGCACAAAGTCTGCAGAGCTTGTTGTAAATAAATCTCCTAAAATAAAAAAAACAAAGGAGCTGAATGTGTGACTTCCTGACTTGAAGCAGCTTCAGCTGCTATGAGCCGAAGTGTGAAGGACAGCTTTGTGTGCTCCTCAGTCTGCAGGAGTCCATCCTCAGCCACGTGCAGCGGATCGTTAAAGGGGAGGTGAGTCAGGCCATGAAGGAGCAGCAGGCGGTGGTCACCTCCAGCATCATGCAGGCCATGAGGTCCGCGGCCGGGACCCCCGTCCCCACGGCCCACCTGGACTACCAGACCCAGCAGGCCAGCATCCTGCAGTTCCTGCAGCAGGGCCAGCTCAACCAGGCCTTCCAGCAGGTGAGCTGTGTGGGCTGCAGAGGCCTGCGGTCACACACCGACCCTCCTGGGCTCAGAGACCCAGAACCCCCTGACAGAACCAGTCCTCGGGTCCTGCAGTGAGCTGTGTGGGCTGCAGGCCTTGTTTCTGTAAACTCAGCTCCGTCTCCTCCCTCAGGCGCTGTCGGCCTCCGATCTCAACCTGGTCCTGTACGTGTGCGAGACCATCGACTCGCAGCAGGTCTTCGGTCAGACCCCCTGCCCCCTCAGCCAGCCGGTCCTGCTCTCGCTCATCCAGCAGCTCTCCTCCAACCTGTCCACCCGCTCCGAGCTCAAAATCAGGTGAGGGCGAGCCGAACGTTCACCTTCTCAAAACGTCTCATTTTGACCAGAAACAGTTTTAAAGGGATCCAGGATTAGTTGTAACATTAGACTTTATGTGATAAACAGTTATTTTAACTGTAAACAAAGACTGTAAAAATACAGAAGGATATTTAGTTTTTATCATTTTTAAACTAAATTTTAATGAAATGAGAATTAAGTCAAATTTGGTCAAATTGACCTCATTACATTTTAAAATTCCTGTTTTAAAAGCTACATTTTGATACCTGGATCATCCTGATATCATCAGTTTATCCAGAGAAATGATTTAATTTGTCTTGTTGGTTATGATAACACATTACTGTTTGATCTGAACCCTAATTTTATGTACATTTATTGACTCATTTTTGATAGTATTAAGATGAAACCTCAAACAGTATTTGTATTTTAATATTTCCCAGTCGAAAAGAAACAAAAACATTGCTAGCTCACGGGAAAAATTCAAAATTTTAAGACGTGTTTTCTCAAAATCAGGTTTTTTGTTGCTGCTGCTCGAAAAAAAAGTTTCAAAAAATGTTTAGGATTTCAGACAGTTCATTCAGCTGATACACTGATGAGGTATTAATTCATTATATGTTGACAAAATGCTATTTTTGCACTTGTTTAAATCAAAACCCTGCAACTGAAAATATGGATGGAGGACCTCAGTTTAGCTTGTTAGTTTGTTGCTCTAGCGCCGAGCTAATACATATAAAGCAATGTAGCGTTGGTGCTAAAGCTAACAGGCTAAGCTGAGGTTCTTCTTCCATGAAGCAGCTCTGTTGTCCTCCATCCATATTTTCAGCTACAGGCTGAGTCATTTGTTTCTAGAGATCGACTGATTCAGGTTTTTGAAGGCTGATACTGATTATTTTGACATCAGTCTAACAGAAACGCCGATACACACAGCCGATCGTTTTTGGCCGATTCTTGAAGCCGATACAACTTTATCTTCCTCCATTAACAGGATAAAAATAAGACTGATAACAAATGTTACACAAGTCTTAATATAAGCAAAAAGAAACATTTATTAACTGAGCCTTGTCTGGTGCAGACTGAGTGAACTGCTGCCACACAGGATTTCTGTTTTCAGCCATTAAAAAAAATTAAAATTTTATTTTATCTAAAGCTACATGTTCTGTTTTTATCTATATATTAATCAGATTGGTATCTTTACATAAAATAAAATGACCATGTTTTAATATCCCAGCATTTTTTTAATGCAAAAAGAGGAGCACAGAGAAAAGAAGAGACACACACATACATCCTGCTATCTTTGTGAGGACTTCACACAAACACACACACACACACACACAAACACACACACACACAAACACACACACAGCGCTCACAGTAAGCCCTGGCTGCAGCGTGTAGAAAGGGGCGGGGACAGATCAGATGAAGCTGCAGCTCCAGGATCAAGTAAACCTCAGAGTCTGAGAACCGGATCAGAACCTCTTTTTAACTGTTTGAAGTGGTCTGAGTCGGTCCGGTCCGGTTCAGTCCACTCTCTGAGTCTCTGTCTGGTTTTCCACTCGGCTTCATCACAGAAATATTTTTTATTTAAACCTCATGTGGAGACCTAAAACAGTTGATCAAAAAGCTTTTTTTAAATTCTTCACAGTTTGACAGAAAATCTGATTTTACCTTCGACGAGCCGACGACGAGCCGAAGAATGAAGCCTTTAAAGATGTTCTGTGTGGATGAATATGATTTATTCTGCAGACCCGACGCTCCTCTTTACCTGCCTTGAAAAGAAAAACTCTGACCTTCAGAGTCTGCAGAACCGCCGAGACCCGGATCCGAACTTTACTGCAGCTGATTATAACTAAAACTGTGTGTGAGCGCTGAAAGCTGCTGAAGAAGCTGAAAATAACAGCTGACTTCAGCTGAAACAAGCTGAAATTAGCAGACATCAGCTGATAAACAAAAAGAACACAGTGTTGCTATTTCTATAAAACAGCTAAAGCAGGCAAAACTAGGAGAAAAAACAGCTAAAATGCATCTGAAAAAGCTAAAATTAGCATAAAGACAGTGTTTTTTAAGTAAGCAGTAAGAAGCTGACATCACAGAAAGGTGAATTTAAACAAAAAGAGCTAAGATTAGCTGAAAATGGCTACAAACTCAAATGTACAAAACAGACAAAATTAGCAGAGATCAGCTAAAAGAAGCATAAAAAGCTAAAGTGAGCAGAAAAAAGTTACAATTGGAGTAAAAAGAAGTTGAAGGAAGCCTAAAATATTTTCATTTACAAAAATGGCTGAAAGGAGCAGATGACAAAAAAAACAGCTGAAATTGGCAGGAAACAGCTGAACGATGCACAGAAAGCTAAAATTAGCAGACATCGGCAGAAAAACAAGAAAAGCAGCACAGTATTGCTATTTCTATAAAGTAGCTGAAGCAGGTAAAATTAGCTGAAAAAATCTTTAAAAATATCAGAAATAAGCTAAAATTAGCATAAAGACACAGAGCACATTTTTTTAATTAAGCAGTAAGAAGCCGAAATGATCACAGAAAGGTGAATTTAAATGAAAAAAGCTAACTTTAGCTGAAAATAACTACAAATTAAAATGCTGAAAATGGACAAAATTGGCAGAAATCAGCTAAAAGAAATATAAAAAGCTGAAATGAGCAGAAAAATGTTACAATTAGAGAGGAAAAGAAGTTGAAGGAAGTAAATTTAGATAAAGCTAAAATTAGCTGAAAATAGCTACAAAACATGACAAAAACAGCTGAAATTGGCAGAAAACAGCTGAACAATGCACAGAAAGCTAAAATTAGCAGAAAGTAGTTTAAAAAAGCAGAACCAGATCTAAAAGTATTTTGAAGGGATTTAATGGTGAAGACAAATAAAAAGTGGCTAAAACAGCCGAAGAGCTGAAAGTGTGGCTGAAGTAGCAGAAAGAGCCGAACGTTGTGATGCATGAGTTGCTGAAACGGCACAAATAAAAACGGATGATGTCACAGCCGTGTCCTCTTCTCCCCCCCCTCAGCTACCTGGAGGACGCGGTGATGAACCTGGACCACAGCGACCCCCTGACCAGAGACCACATGTCCTCCGTGGTGGTCCAGGTCCGACCCAAGCTCCTGGCCTTCCTGCAGCAGGACCCCCACAGTCCGCTCTGCAAGACGGTGCGCCGCCTGATGATGATGCTGCAGGGGCTGGTCAGCCACTAGACCCCGCCCCCTGTTCCTCCTTACAGAACCATCAGGAACCGCTTCGGTCTCATTCTGGGATCCGAGACAAAAACTGTATTTTTGTTCAGTTTATTTTTATTTTTTATCTCTGCTGGACGATCAGGTCAGAGCTGTAGATCCTTCAAAGCTTCGGCTCCTTTCAGCACTCCTCCCATGCCCCGCCTCTTTTTGTTCAGGAGCAGAAGTGCAGCTCATCTTCAGACCTTCGTCTCTCTGTAGGCTGGAGGCCACGCTCCGGCTGAAGTAACTGTGAAACTAAAACAAGTTTTATTTGGAGCGGTCTCGTTTTGTTTGCTGTTCCTGACCCGGCAGCCGTCCACCTGTACAGCTCAGACCTGTTCTCCTCTGTGTTCGCTCCTTTTTGTATTTTAAAAAGCGTTTAGCCTTTGTAAGCCATGTATACTTGCTTTAAGGCTTGTAAAAGTAGATAAACAATAATTTGATTGTTCTTTTTTCAGAGAACGTGCAGTTCCTGCTCTGAAGCTGCAGGGGGCAGCACTGATCTGCACTCCCTGCTTTACAGGTTTAGGTTTTGGGAAATCATTCCTGCTGTTAACTTTTTTCTCTCTCTTTTTTTGGCCGTGCGTTCAAACGAGCAGGTTCCCGCCTTCAGCTTGTGAAAAAACTCTTGTTGTGTTAATAAAAGAATAATTTACAGGGTCGTTCGCCAGCCTGGCTGATCACTAAATAAAAGAACCGTCGACTTCGTTTAGAAAGTGCCTTCCTGTCCGTCATCTGTGTTTGACAGCTTGTGAGGTTAAAGTGAGGCCCCGCCCACTCACACACACACACACACACACACACACACACACACACACACACACACAC